ATTTCATTAGTCTAAAATTATAATACTAATAATAATAATAATATCTACCACATATTTGATATAGTTTGGCAAAATCGAAAAAAGATCAAATTATTACAAAATCAAAAAAAAAAAAATTGCGTAAGAAATGAATTTTCAATAAATTATACGAAGAAAATGTCTAAGTAAAGTAGCTTTTATTGTATTTTTTAAATTGGCGAAGCTAACAATTTTATTCTTTCTTAAAACAATAGATCTACGCCTCTCTACTTTCTCGTGCGCTTAGCTCTACGCCGCAATGATGATAAGGATTTTTCTAGCGAACTATATACATTAGTTATTTATTGAAATTGAAAAGCTAGTAGTGATCACGCCTAAACAAGAATTCAATCTAATGGACTGAAAAGACTTTAATGCAAGATTATTGACAATGTTTTGTGCCATCTTAAAAAGTTTTTTATGTTCTAGTTTAATAAGAATAATTGTTAACCTTTAGTTAAGCCGCTATTGTTTTAAGGTTTCAATTTTAAAAAAAATGAATTTTGATATGATTTTATCTTTTTCTTATTCCATAAATCGACACCGCCCTCGAAATAAATTGCCATGATTAAGGAAATCAATATTTAATATTTTTCATGTGGTCGCACCAACGTTTTGTACATAACGACATGAAAGGAATAACAAAATGTTACTCGCACCAATATTTCGTAACATATATTTAAAAATCTCTTTTGATACGAAAAACTTTTCAAGAAATCCATATTTAAGTATATATATATTTTAAATTACGTTGTTGACAGATATATAAAACCGTTTACTTACACATTTTCGGCTGCTGCAAGAGGATTTGAACCCTCCCGCAGACCCCTTCAACCACTTATAAGGTTTTTTTCGCAAATCTCGATGTTCCTTTATTACTAAATGATATAATATGAACAAAGGAGCCTGTTCGCCCGACGTATATTATGTCCGCAATATTACTTGATTATTTAATTACAAAGTTTTACTTACCTCTTTCTTCGTTTTACTTACTAAATTAGATTATTCTTAATAGCGACAAGACCATTATATTCAGTAGAAAGAGTTTCTATAATCTGTTGATTCTTTACGCTTTATTATATTAATCTTTTATGTGAAAAATTCATTTTGGTTTAGTGCAACCAACAATTAGAGCTCTTGGTAAAAGTCTCTGTTTTCGCTTTCTTGTTACGCGGGAACAAAGGTGCAAAGTGTGCTTTAATTTGCAGGAAATTTGCGTCATGGATTTTTTAAGTTTTTTTGTTCTTTTTTTTCTTCATAAGCTCCTTTTGTTTTTTTCACTAGACATGGATTGTTTATTAACACCATGTTTGGCAAAACAGGACCTCAATCTAAAAGATTCATCACGTGTTGGCTATGTGATCGTTTTTGCCACGCAAAGTGTGCTGGTATTATCGGTCGTGCTGCTGATGCAGTCCTTGACCCCTCAAAAGGCTTACGATGGTCATGTCCTGACTATAGAAAGCGGGACATAGGTTTCTACAAACTCTTCACAGAGACGAGAAATTGTTTCTCAGATTTGAGCAAAAATATCCGCTCCTTGTGGGAGAAGTTTGAGATAATTAAGACTAGGTTTGATGAGTGTGGTTTTATTCACCTCTGATTCATCCTAAATCTGATTCGTTGGTACAAGTTAGCCCCTCCTCAAAGTCTACAAAGAATGTCAGCGTTTCTGCTACTGTTGAGTCGGTCGGTAGCAAAAAAGTTACATATACGTAGGGAAGTCCCTCTGGTTTGAGCTACGCCGAAGTGACAAGGGTATCTCCCCCCATTGATGTCACTCAATCTACTCAGGTGTCATCGCCTAAAACTAATAACGAGAATAAAAAATCGTCCTCTCCCCCTGGCTGTTCGAGTACGCACGCTCGTCGCCAAACTGGGCACGTCACACAAGCTACTCGTGCAAGTGTGGTTTCCCCTTCTATTATCTCTCCAACTCAAAACTCCCCATCCGTGTACCCTACTGCTCCTAGTACAGATGACATTTGCTTGAAGGCAGTTCCTCCCAGAAAGGCAACATTTGTGTCAAGACTGACACCTGATACAACTATGGATAACGTAACATAAAAAGTTATCTGACGGCGAAAGTACCATCTGTCAATTTAAAGCGTGTTAGCATTTTAAAATTGGCTTCTTCTCAACCTAGATCAATCTCGTCTTTTAAAATTCTAGTTCCGACTGAAAACACGGATATGTTATTAAATAAACCATTGTAGCCGGTTGGATCCTTAATTAAGGAATTTATACCACGTGATCGACCCCGTAATAGTGATGCAGTAGCTCTTTCCCCTTCATAAAACAAAATATTTCTTCAGGCTCATTATCTTTCATTTATCAATATGTTAAGGCCTATATTCAAAAATGCGTTCTACTTTCCTAAATTGAGTGAGTACGGAGTTTTCCTGTTTGGCCTTTACTGAAACTTTCTTAAAGCCTGATCTACATTCGTCGAAACTTTTCCATAATTCTTTTCAAATTTTCATAAATGATCAATTGTGTCGCAATGGTGGTGGTGTCTTAATAGCCATATCTGGGGCAGTCCCCTCCTATTCAATTGAATTTCCCACTACTGCCGACGTTGAATTTATCGCTATTCGAGCAAAATTTCCTAATAAACATTTATATATTCCCCCAAATTCAAATATCTCGGTATATAAGAAACAGGCCACCCTCATTTGCGAAGTGGCCAAGCAATCTACACCTACCGATATAGTCATTGCGTTGGGTGACTTCAATTTGCCTCAAGTCACTTGGTGTTACAGCGATAGTTCTGGCTATTTGATTCCTACTTCAACATCTGATCATTATCTTCTTTAATGAGTTATTCGATCATAATTTAGTTCAATGCAACGGTACCCCTAATTGCAATGGTAGACTGCATGATCTTTGCTTTGTCAATTTTCCTGAGATTTGTGTTAATCATTGTCTTACTTTTTGTGCATGCTGGTTCGTTGAACTTCTGTAACGTTCCTAATTCAACTTATGATTTCAATAAATTTAATGTTTCAATGCTAAAATCTCATCTTTCACACATTATGCTTGATGTTTCAACTGAAAAGGTTACTGAAAAGCTGTCGAAAGCTTACTGCCATCGTTATACGATACATAAAATCTAGCTATTTCTGCATCTGTTCCGGACAAGCAATCCTGACTTCGAAGCAGGTGTCCCCCGTGGTTTAATAAGACAATTAAATATTTCAAGAATAGGAAAAACAGGAAAAGGAAAAGTGGTTCTTCTTTCGACTATTTCGCTTACTCGGTGGCGAGGCATAGATTTAACTCCCTAAACCACCAATATTATTGCAGATGTCTGCGGTTCATTAAATCCTCTCTGTTTGCTAATCCTAAATACTTTTTTAAATATTATTGCAGATGTCTGCGGTTCATTAAATCCTCTCTGTTTGCTAATCCTAAATACTTTTTTAAGTTTGTTAATTCAAAAAGAAAAATTTTCCACACATCCCTCGCATGTTCTGATTCCTCGGGTGGTTTGAAAATCTCAAACCTCTTTGCTGAATACTTCCGACGAAACTTTTCGACTGCTAATCCGGTTTCAATTCCCAATTTTGTTATTTTTGAAAATGACGTTTTTAAAAGGTTGAGCTGTTTAATATATGGCCTGGACCTGATGGAATTCCATCATGTGTACTAAAATCCTGCATTGTCGAGTGATGTGACGTTATCTCAAAGATTTTTAACCGGTCCTTGAATTTAGGTTTTTTCCCTTTGTATTAGAAGAGTACTTTCCTTATTCTTATCTACAAAAGTGGAAGTACACAAGTCGTTGAGAACTACAGGGGCATGGCCAAGTTGAGTGTCTTGCCGAAGCTGTTTGACCGAATTGTGACTCAGCGTTTGACCTTTGCCATTAATTCGTATATTTCTTCACACCAGCATGCGTTTCGGAAAAGAAGATCTACGGTCGCCAATTTATTAGAGTGTACTTGTCATGTTTTCAAGCCTTTTTCTAGTAGCTCTCGCACTGATGAAATATATACTGATTAAAGCAAAGCATTTGATTTGCTTAACAATAACTCACTTATCTTTAAACTTCAAGCGTCTGGCTTCTGTTTAGTAAAATGGACAAGCTCTTATCTGCACAATAGATCATTCAGGATTTTGTTTAACTTCATCACCTCGGATGAATTCCCCGTGACGTCTGGCGTACCTCAAGGCAGTCACTTAGGTCCCATTTTATTTAGTTTATACATTAACGATCTTCCATCGGTGGTTAATTTCAGCCAGATCTTAATGTATGCTGATGATGGGAAAGTGTTTTCTTCTTTCTCCGCAGAATCGCAATCACATCAGCTTCAAAGTAACTTGAATAATTTGGCTGCATGCTGCTATTTGAATTTTCTGAAACTAAATCTAAATAGATGTAGAAAGCTTTCTTCCTCAAGAATAAAGTCATTTAATACTCAGTATTTCATTGATTCGCACAAGTTTGAGGACGACAGTTTGTTCACTGACTTAGGCCCATAGATTGCCATAGATTACGTTTTAACTTGCATATTGAGCTCTCGTTAAGCAAAGCTAGGTCCGCGCTTGGTTTTATAAAGAGGTGGTCCAAAGAGCTTGATGATCCTTACATTACCAAAAGGCTGTGTTTGGTTAGGTCTATACTTGAGTATTCTGATTATCGGACTGTTTAAAGTCTATTAAAGCAACTTACGTTAATATGCGGATTTACCTATGTCGTGCTTAAAGTAACATTCCATTCTTCATATCTAATTTTTTGGTTGTGTGGTTGACGGGTTGGTTGCCAAGCTTATGCATGTTTGCAATGCTTCAGTGGTTCACTTGCAACCTGAATCTGTTCTTGTTGCGGGTGTGCTTCTGTGCTGGTTGTGTACACGCTTTTTTTTTTTGTTTCTTTTTTTTCTCTCTTTTTATTTATTTATACATGAATTATTATTTTTAACTTTTTAATTTATTTTTAAACTTACTTGCTTAATATTCTTCTTCTTTTTTTCTTCCTGTTTATTGTATACTAGTTTTAAAACAATTAGTGTAAGATTTTCTATTAACTTGTACTGAATTCGACTGCAATTTTCTGTAGATGAATTTCATGTATAAATGAATAAATAAATTAACATCTGTCCATCTTATCAATGATAGCGACATTATATGGTGAAATGTGAAAAAATTGAAAGTTGATTACACGCTTTGGCGAATTAAGAGCATTGGAACTGTATCATCTTATAAATTCAACTTTAAACAGCTACTTTGCTTTCGCAAAGTATTGACAAGTATGAGAAAGTCTTTTTAACAGCTGTTTTGCATACTTCCCCCATCCCAAAAACAAGATGTTCATCAACCAAGGATGAATGCTTCCATATCTGCGATCCCAAACCAGCCGAAAAACAAAAACATAGACTTTCAGATACGTGATTATCTTCTCATAACCTCTTGTTAACGTTTGTGTCTTCCCTTTGGTCCTGAGGCATAGTAGAAATTTGAAACGAAACGAAACACTCCGTCTTAACATAACAATCAACCATCATACTTGTTTTTAATATATGTGACTGTAGTTGCTATTTGAAAATTGTGTATAACGTATATAGATGACTTAAGTGCTCAACACAATGACTACAATAGCAATATGCAATCTCCATAAACAAATTAAGCAATATAACATAATATAAATTTCGCCAATGATATAATTTTACGTCGTACTGCTCCAATTGTGTTCAAATTGTTTATATTTATACCAACATTGCGTTACTGCACACTGCCCCTTCATTAATTCCGTTTAGAGCCGATAGCCTGCGTTGCTAGTGCTCAATGTCTTTAATCTAAGAATTCATTTCATTAGTCTAAAATTAAAATAATAATAATAATAATTTCGTTTAGAGTAACGTCTGTAGAACTTGAAATAATAGGCAGGGCGTAAAAATATTCAAGTTATCTTGACCTGACCAATCACGTAAGAATCTTACACCAGCTAGCTGTAATATATTTTTTACATATCGCAGATTCAAAATTCAAAATATGTCCAGGTGTTTTTCGAACATAATTTCGGTTAAACTTACTACAAATTGACAAATTGACTTGTGACTTGTCATGGTTTTCCTTAGCATACGAGTGAGTAATTATTTAACTGCTAAACTTATTTAAAACATTACTTAATATAATGCTGTGTGGCACGCACAAAAAAGTTTCTAACACATACGTTGTTACCTAATTTAAAAATATACTTTGTCCATTACCTTGCGTCTCGATAAGTATTATATGATGAATGGATGAATATTGTTTCGGTTTTTAGGACACAAACATCTCAATTTCAGGAGTTTACTACAATTACATAATTATAAATTTTCTGAAATTATATAATTGAAAAAAAAATTTGATTTTACAGATATTATGACTATTGCATGCATATAATAATCCATTACTTTAATGCTATCAACAGATAAGTACATTTAAAAGTAGTGCAGCATTAATATCGAATTATTTAATACTTTAGTAAAGACTAATTTTATTCAACTGAAAGAGTGGAACTAGTGATCTTACAAAGTGTAGGACATAGCTTCAATATTATCATATAAAATGGATTTTAATGCAGACGCAGAGTTACGTTATTAGTTTTACATTCTTTTGGGTGTATTGTGTCTTCTATTGACTCTCGTAACATTTCAGTTTAATTTTTTCACTGAATTATAAAGGTTGGCTAAGTATTACTTGCTTTTTTCATTGTATATGTGTGTGCTCTTTGTTTAGTGTGTGGAAACTTGAATGGAGAAGGCGTTGTCATCAATTAGGTCTTTGTATTAAAGATCTTTTTATATACAAGAAACAAAAAAAAGTAAACTGTTCCTAGTTTTATGGTTGGTGATTATCATCAATCAATCAGTGTAAAATCGAATTCATGGGAAAAAAAGTTCAGATTTTAATATAATCCTTTATTTACGTATATGAAGACACGCATTTGTCACAGTAGTTAATTACAGAGAGTTAAGCAAATTGGTTTTTATACAGCAAATTTAAGGAACAAGTAGAATTTGTATCGTGCATTTAAAGTTTCATTACGTGAATTATGTATCTACCAATGAATTCGTCAGTGATTTTATTTGTGAATTGTCAAAAAAAACTGTGTGTTGAAACACATGAAAGCACATGCCATCAAATTTTTAGAAAATAAATAATAGCTCGTTCATCCTTATACACATTCCTCACTTCTGGAACGAAAGGATGAATATACTATTAGGTGTATAAGTAACTTCATTCTAAATTCATAGCTTCTTAAGAATTGTTTCCGCATATTAATTTTGTTTTCGTTAAACGGATAATTAAACATTACGTATTTAAATTATCCTCTTATATTCTATTATTCATAAATTAATATTGCCATCGAATATTAAACACTCGCACGAAACAAAAAATTTAAAGTTGGAAATAAAGTCTACATAGAGTACCGAAAGTTGAGGTTTCTCCTATTAAAAACTGCATTTATGGGTTGAAGGTCAAAAAACATGTTTCTTAACGTTTTATATTAAATAACACCTCAAAGATTTTTATTTTGGCTGAAGATAGAGTTGTAAGCAAAAAATATAATTTAATCCCACAAAAACTCAAAAAAGTCTACATGCAACGAAAAAATATCGCTATATATTTTATAAATACATCTTTCCTTAATAAGTCAGCAAAGAAATTCTTCAAGAGATTAGAAAAGCTGTTGTAAAGTTGAGAAGTGATGAAAAATCGTTGGGAGAAATAGCAAAAACAATTGGAATTAATTCAACTATTATAAAAAATTACAATATCAGCAATACCACGCAAAATGAGCGCCGATCGGGCCGACCAAATAACTTCTACAGAGCGTGGATATCGAAATGTCAGATTTTTAACAAAAGCGAACTCTCAATTCATTTTTCATTTGACTTAATTCATCCAATTGATTCCATGATTTGCTAGGCTTAAAATCTCAGTATTTTATTGTCAATTTATTTCCTGCATTTCAACAACTCATATTTTCTCTTAAGATCTTAATAATTCTTTGTCCGTAATATATTTTCTGCATTTGTCCGAATATTCCATTGTCTCACGATTATGGTCTGCCACATTTCGGATTTTCTATTATAGTCCGCAGTTAATGGTAGAGCGGCATTTACACATTGCGGAGACAATTTTTTAACTTTATCTCAAAAATGTACCAGTCTGCTTTAAATGTTGCACAAAGGCTTGATGCCCTTACACGCAAAATTGAGCTAAGTCGGTCGAAGGGCACCTATACCATACAACATAACTTGGACCACCTCAAAGATAAAATACGTGGTGTTTTACTCGTTGCTTACAAAGGACAGAAGGTAAAACGGTGAAAATTTGCATTTACATCCTGTCGATGGTCCTGCAGCACCTATTCGAGATCGACTAAATACTATTCAATATTATAAAATCTAAAAATTTTATTATTTCATCGAAACGTTTGCATCACTCAGAACGAAGCTTCACAGACCATATAAAGACCTCATTTATGGCAGGTATCGCAGGGTGACTGGTATAAAAGATTTAATCGAGGCCAAATATAATTTTCTTACTTGTTGGCATTATATACAATAGTTGTTGCACAATCATGCCTTGCCGTACAAATACACTGTGCTAAATTTACTGCTTTATTTTGGACTTGTACGACTAAAATCTCTTGTTCATTTTTCACTGCAGTATTCGATACAGGTAGGATAATTGATGATCGGCCTAGCAATACTAGGTGGTAAAGTTTCAACTTGTTTTAGTTTAACTATTGCTGGGTAAATGAATTATTGCTCTGACTTCTCTCTGAGATGTGGAAAATCATGTGTTACGCCATATTTGTCATTTACGATCGTAGTATGATAGTTATGGCATTTGCGATGTTCTAAATAAAATTTAGGTTTATCTTTAGAACGTCCGCTTACGTTTCCTTTTTATTCAATTAAGCTACCGAGCCGGCTTCTCTTTTGTTATGGAATTATACACAAAATAATATGCAAAATATTCTCTCCAGCTTACTTTATGTATTTAAATTGCTTTGCCACATATGCAATTTTCTCACATTGAGTTCAGTTTTTAGCTGCTGTATTTTAAATTCTAATTTCAATAATTGTGACGCGGTTGCTTTTTAATTGCGTCTTGTAAAGATGAGAGTCAAAACTTTCAGGTTTGTGTCGATGGATTGTAAATTAAAATGACCATTCTAAATGCAAAATGTAAAATATGAAGTGATATTACACATCTTCCTTTGTTCTTTTGTCATAAACTTTATTTTAGTTAATTTTCTAGCGAATATATCAATTAAATTTTGTTATTCAACTGCTTAGCTTAGATGCTTCGTCTTAATACTTATAGCGAAAACTTCGTTTATGGAAATCCGTAAACTTTTTACGTGTGCGAATTTACTGTAAATTGCCATCTGAGTTTATTTATTTGTTACTTGTGCTCGATTAACATTATGGCAAATTTAAAAGTAAACAGTTTCAAATTAAAGTAATAAACAGTTTTTTCAAAATGTGTGAGCTTTATTAATAGGCAGGTTGCGGTTAGAAAGGTTTATAGCTAGAGGAATGAGAAAAATGAGGGTAAAATTAGTGTATGTTCTCATACACTAATCTCTATGAAAGGCTACTGCTTACAGGTTTTTCTGAAGAAGGAAGAAAGCGACACCGAAACTAGCGGTCGAGAACAGCTGACCAGTGCTAAAAATACTACGCTTTCCCCTACTTTATGCATTCCTATTCACACCACAAAAGGACCGAAATCGCTCTTAAAAGAAGGTCATATAATATACGATACCATACCATGTAGCGTAATTCGGATTATTAATATAAAAGATTAAAAAAAATGCATTATTACTATTCACCATATAGGGTATAAAATTGACGAAAAATTGTAAGATACGAAGTGTTATAAAAAATTTGAGCACAGTTTTTCAAGTGCAGTTTTTTGACACGTTTTAAATGACGTTAAAACCTATCAGAAAAATTTAATTTCATTACGATGTTCAAGCCACCAAAATTTCCTCTTCATATACGTAAGACACTAAATTAATTATAAACAAGTAAAAATGTTGTATTCGGCGGGGGGCTGAATTCCGCGTACCCACCGCTATGCTTTTTGCATTCCACTTTAAAATTTTTTTATTTGATTATACGGCTGGTATTATTAAAAAAAAATTAAACTACCAGGTCACGGGGTCTACCATATTCATTTTAAAATTAACCCCTTTTTAGGCAGATAATATATCTTCATTTGAGGAATGTGCCAAATAGTTTTAAACATTCTATCTTGTTTGCGTTATGGTAAATAAGCATAAAATCTCAAAAAAGTCAAAAAAATAAAATTTAATTACTTATAACTTTATGTAGGCATGGCTGATTTTTTCAATTTTTGCATGCAAAAAGTACTGTTTGGTAAAGCAGATACGAAAAATTTAAGACTTTTTATAATTTCTGAGTAACGAGCAAATACCCATAAGATTTTATTAAGAAAAACGGTGTTGCATTCATTTTACGCTCCATTGCGGTCTTCTTCTCTGAACCATTTTCAATAGCAAACTGCGTGCAAAAGCTTCCAATGTCTGTAACAAATGTAATAAGCGCTCGGTAAGTATTTTCACAATATCTCCGAATATATTTTAAACGAAAAAAATTTGTTGGAATTTGTTTGGGATATAAAATTATAATAGTTGCATTGATTTACAAAGATCGACCAAAGTGAAATTAAGTACAAAATTAAACATCAACAAAAACATAAAAATGCCACAAATATTAGATGGTTGCGTTACTGTCGATAAATGATTTCTACAGGTACAAATTGTAAAGGAATAGAAAAGACCAGTGTGAAAATGGCTACCACACGAATTGGCTTCACTGCTTACTAGGCAAAGAAAGAAGAGTTATCTGGGCGGTATTGTGGCTGGCAATGAAAAAGGGATCCATTACGATTTGGGTTAGTCGAAGAGAGCCATCCACATGGACGCTAAAGCGAAATGTTCATGGTCATAAAGGTAGGACCGGCGAGGTGGGGTATATTGTAAGCTGCTAAAATCAAATGAAACTAATCGCAGATGTCTATCGACGTTAGTTGTAAAAATGGCCAGCTATAGCGGTTAATAAACGCAAAGTCATACTCCTGCATGACAACGTTCGGCTACACGTTAGAAGACTTGTCAATGTTATATTGTTGC